CAGGGACGGGGACGGGTAGGACTCTCCGCTCCCATTACTGCGTGATCCTGCCGTCTTGGGGTTTTTTTTTTAATTTATTTTATTATTATTATTTTAGATAAGGTCTTGCTGTGTAGTCCAGGCCTGGAATTTGGGGCAATCCTCCCTCAGCTTCCCGAGAATTGAGATTACAGGTGTGCGCCACCACGCGTGATTTGGGGGGTTTGGGTGTTTGCTTTTTCCATTACTGCGTGATCCTGCCGTCTTGGGGTTTTTTTTTTAATTTCTATTATTATTATTATTTTAGATAAGGTCTTGCTGTGTAGTCCAGGCCTGGAATTTGGGGCAATCCTCCCTCAGCTTCCCGAGAATTGAGATTACAGGTGTGCGCCACCACGCGTGATTTGGGGGGTTTGGGTTTGTTTGCTTTTTTGCTTTGCTTTTAAAAATTACTGTTTTCATCTATGCTGTAGACTTGGGCCCACATCGCTCTGTATCCTGCACTCGGATGGGTCGTGGACTCAGACACCCCCGCAACCCCACCCCTCCAAAGCGTTCTACCCTGTCCAGCGCGACCGAGCCGCAGTGGCGCTGCCTCCGCCTGGCCACCAGGGGGCCCCAGGCCAACAGGAAGTCCTCCAAGTGTCCATCTCTATGATCACCGAGGCAGCCGGAGCGACCCGGAAGCCGCGGTTGGAGAAGGGAGCAGTGCTTCCGGGTAGGAGTGAGGTGACCCCGTCCGCCGCAGGCCCCTGCGGTGGAACTGCCATGGGGGCCCACCTGGTCCGACGCTACCTTGGCGATGCCTCGGTGGAGCCCGACCCGCTGCAGATGCCCACCTTCTCACCCGACTACGGCTACCCCGACCGGAAGGAGCGAGGTGAGACCCAGTGTGCAGGCGCGGCCAGCGGGCGCCGGGACCCCCTCAATTCGGAGACCCTCAGGGCTGATCGCGGCCGTGTCCTCACCCGGGGACCGGAGGACACGCGCGACCTGCGAGCCCCCCGGGGACAGAGGCGATCTCGGGTGGGTCGAGCTGGGCTTTGTTCCGGGGCAGCGGGAAGCCACGAAAGGGTTTATCACGGAAGGGATATGATCGCTGTACCCCTGTGCAGATGTCACTGTCGTATTCACGTGTGCACCAGAGTCAGACGTGGTGGCGCACGCCTGGAATCCCAGCACTTGGAGGCTGAGGCAGGAGGATCGCTGGGAGTGGGAGCCCAGCCCGGGCCACGAAGCGAGACCCCCTCTCAGAACAACAGCAAAAACATATTCAGGAGAAAACGCTGGGCGAAGGCTCCTACCGCGCATTCTGCCCTGAAGGAGTACTTTGCTTATGTTTTTGTTTTTGTTGTTTTCCGAGGCTGGGAATCGCGCTTAGGACCTCGCGAGTGTTAAGCAAGTGCATCGCGAGTGAGCTACACCCACAGCCCTCGTTACTGTGTTAATACCACAGGCACAAGGAGCACAGACTCTAACTCCCAGAGTGGGCACCTCAGGAGAGACACGGGTTCTGTCTGCGGCGAACTCAGCCCAGGGGAGACAGGGGAACCTGCGGATCAGAGGGTAAGGGGTGGGTACGGGGTGGGGGCCGCCAAGGCTGGCTTCAGGAGGCAGAGACAGGGAGGGGCATGAATTAGGGGCTGACCTGAGCCTCCAGATGTCTGCCCTCCTAAGCCCCTGCTCCACTAGTGTGGCCAACCCAAAAGGCCTGGCAGCACCTGCCTTTGCTGAGTGAGTCGTCTCCTGTCCTCTCCTGGTTGCCTCCCTGCTGGAGCCTTGATGTTCTCAGCCTGCCTGGCCCTTCGCTGTCCCTCTCACTTCCTGGCCACTTAGGCGCCTCTTGCTTTTCTTCTCCTTTTTTGTAGGACTGGGGATTGAACCCAGAGTCTTCACGCTGAGCTACCCTCCCACTCCCACACCCACCCCTTTTCTTTGACACAGTCTTGCTAAGTTGCTAAATTGCCTAGGCTGGGTTTGAACTTGTGATCCTCCTGCCTAGTCTCCCAGAGTGCTGTAATTACAGCACACACCACCTCACCAGCTTTGCTTTTCTTTGGTGCGGGCAGCAGGTGGAGTGGGGAGGGGAGGTAAGACAAGGTCTCACCATGTAGTGCTTGAACTGCGTATAGCCCAGGCTGGCCTCAAACTCCAGGCAGTCCTTGGAATTTAGAGGTATACACCAACATTTCCGGCTGCATCTTCTTATTGAGAAAACAGAAGCAGTCAAAAGAGCTCTTAGGCCTCCTTGTCCCCTCCCTGCCATACACCCTCAGACTCCTACTCTGCCTGATCAACTCTCCCTGGCTGAGCCTCTGCTACATGTGAACCCCCTTCCTCCCTTCACCCTATCTCTTCACACCCCAGGAGTCTGCCGCAGCTGTTCTCATCAGCAACATGTAAATATACTGTCAACTTCCATCATTTTAAATTCTAGCCCGTCTCCCCCAGCTGTCCCCTGCCACCTCACGGGAAGGGATCTTGTCACACGTGCTGACACCACCACCACCACCACCACCAAGCACCAGTGTCAGCCCTGCTCTTAGCCTGACCTTGATCACTGCCACCTCCTGGATGCCCCTCCAACCCTGGCTCCCTGGCTGTTCCTTCCCATCTCCCCTTGCGGGCCCCAAAGCTCGGGCCTTCTCTGTCCTATCCACCGCACCTAAGGGTTCTCTACAAGCCCCCAGCTCCCTGTGCCGTCTGCATGTCAGTGTTCCTGTTTGATCTCCAGGGGACCTTGACTCTAAACTCCAAGCTCATGGACCTCGTTTTTTGTTTTGTTTGTTTTGGTACCGGGAATCGAACTTGGGACCTTGTGCTTTCAAGGCAGGTGGTAGAACTGCTGAGCTAAATCCCCATCCCTCACAGACCTCATTTTTATGTTAATGGACATCTTGGATTCAGCAAGTCCAGGTCTCCCTCCTGAGGTGTCCTGATAACTCTCCTACCCTCAAGGCCCAGAATGTTCTTTCCCCAGGTCCCTGTCCAACTGAACCTAACCTCCCATAGTCCCCTTCCAACACTCTCCCATTTTATCTCCCTAATTCCTTTTTTTCCCTTTTTTTTTTTTTTTTTTTTTTTT